ATCAATTAATATGGAATTTTATCAATTGTCCGTTACTGTCATGTGTAGATTGTAGATATGACATACCGACTTAGCCTTTACCTCGTTTTAACGATTGTTTTTGGTGTAAACCTATATAAAATGTGTTCGTTGGTTTTGTGTGGTTTCTTAGCTACTAGGTACTGTATTTATAGAGTTCTTACGTTTTCGCGATTTTTACACATTGAAAATGAAAATATTTTTCGGATCTATATCGCGCATATTTGTTTTATCAAACAAACCAAAGTATCGGGCCCTTTACAGGTCCTATGATCAATGCTAATTCCCTGGCAATCTTCGTATGTTTGAAAAAACAAATATAAGAGATTTAGACCCGAAAAAGTACTTTCAATTTCAATATTTTTTTCAATAGTTTTTTTTTTTAGCTTGTGTTCTATACAATACTTTATGGCGTGGTATAAGCTTATCAAAGCCATCATAGATAATAAAATAGATTACCTACATTGAAGCATTAGTCAAACATACTATCAATCAGTTCATAAACAGGACTTGATATAAGAAAAGAATGATAGTTCTAGATTTGGTTCAGACAACATGTACTTTATGTGTCACCAAACATGTAAGCGTCCGGCGTAATCCATTATTCAACATACTTCCACCTAAACTTTCGCATCAATATTAATAATGAGATGTAACGGTTACATTACAATAGTTCTAGTATAACTAAATGATAGTCACATAAGTATAATCGTTCATCTAATAGCAGTTACGTATTTGTTGTGTTTGCGTCATATAATCGTTACTATGCTTCCTGATAGGTACTAAAGATATTGTATTATCTGCTACTTTGTAACTTGTTTACGGAACGATATTGCTTCATCGATATAAAAATCAGTTCTCTACGTGAATGAATTTTGGACACGATGCTACCCTAGGGAAAGCGCATAATGTATTTTTTATAGTCATTAGATGTTATGGGCTTTACCTTTATCTATGGCATTTACTTCCTGCGGCCAACTCGTAATGCTGTCAATGTTACGATGCGAGCAACTGACGACAATTTTGTTATCATCCTTTTGTACATCACAGTGAACGCTTTTTGCGCTGGCCTCTAAACCGCGACACGATGAAACTAGGACACATAGTATTACTAACACCTACAACAAAGAAACACTATTATGCAATAGTTAATCACAAAAATATACAAACAAACACTCTCCCGAACGTCGCACTTGTACGTTTTTACTCACATTTAACACTTTGGAAAGGAACATCTTTATCAAACGCATGAAGGATACTGCAACAATATCTAGCGCGTTATCTTATCACAAACCCTTGATATAACAACACGGTGACAATAAATAAGCGCGTCTCATTGGTTAATGTGGGTTACGTTTTGTAGTACAATAACGGGCCGAAGTTAGTAATTTTTTTTTGTTTTAGGAGGTCTTGAACATCACCGCGAATAAGTTGGAGGAAATAATTAAACCATTCAGCGACTCTGAGTACGACTCTGCGTCAAAACACAAATACGCTGAAGTAGGATCACCTGACTCTACAGAAGAGATGAAAAATATGGAAAGTCGACAGGCTGCAGTCACATTGTTACAAATAAAGAATCACGACCCCTCAAAATACGCGATAAAGACCGAGGAACCTCATATAGTGTTCAACAGCGTGCCGAGTTTACCTCCATCGGAACGAGCAAGAGAGGTGATGCACTGCAATGCTGTCATCGATATTATAAGTAAAGCCGTGGCTGTCGCGCAGAGAGAAAACGAAGAATCTCAAAAATATCCAGCTAATTACGCGGCTGTGATCGATAGGACGCACGCGGCGAATGTAGGCGAAATGAACTACACGCACGAATACACCGAGGACCAGTACAATGCGTACAGCGCACCACACAACCAGGCCAGTCCTGGAAGTAACGAAGATCATGACAAGGAGATGGACCTCTCATTGTACAGTTCCATCAAAAACGAACCAATTGAACAGACTGAGCAAACAGATGCAGAAACTGGCAACTCCTTCTTTCATAGAGCTTTGACACACAAAAAAATTAATTTTGCCGACGAATACAAACAGCATGTGTTTGGTCAAACAGCGGGTAAAACAAAAAATTGTAAAGATAACTCTTCGACATACGAAGACTGCAGTCAGAGCAGTAGTGGGTCAGACCCAGACAGATTGCAAATGGACATATCTCAGATGTCTCAGGTGCGAACTTACACCAATTTCACTAAATGATTACAACTTTTACGTAAATCTGTTCTAGTAAGATTTTTGTAAAATTTCAGGACGATCCGGAAGAAACTCAGTCTGCACGTTCAACACAGTCTTCTCCACAGCCAATACAAGAAAACGAACATGATAAAGAAACACTATGGCAGGCACTGCACAGACAAAACGGTAAACAATGAACCGTGTGGTTATTTTAGAAACTGATAATGACTGACACGTGTATGTAGATGATATTTAAGGGGTTCTTTTTGTTTTAGGTCGAGGCGGGGAAGCAACGCAGCTACTACGGCGACTGATAAACAGCAAACATTTAGGCATGACTGTTTCACCATTACGGGCCTCTACGTCACCACTGGCTAGTTCTATGCCCCAACCACCCAACGGCGCCGTTTCACCGGTCAGTGTTTACTTATTCTATTATATCGAGTTATTGAGTTTTCGCGATTGTTACACATAGGAAACGAAACTATTTTTCCGGATTGAAATCACGTACATTTGTTTTTTCCAAACAAACCAACGTTTCGGGCCCTTAACAGGTCCCATGGTCACGGTTGACATTCTATAGTGTATATCACTTTATATTATTTCTAGTTTTTATATTATCTATAGTTACACGGTACTCATGCGGTGCTTACTGAAAAATGGAAAAATATATTGCACTGTTAATACAATAGTGTATTAACTCTAAAAGTGTATTTTTTTAGAATCGATGAAAAACTAATTACTTCTTTCTCGTGAAAGGTTATTAAAAAGTATGTATAAGTTAAAGTTTATTACATACATCTAAAAAATGTCCTATTTGCCAAATATATTTACAAATAAAAAGGAAAAAATAATTTAATATTTTTGAGTACTGTTTTTTAGGACTGTTTTGTTCAGAACTAGCTCACGAAAAGTTTGTCTCATTTTGAATTAAGTAGATATTATATTTTAATTGTTTCTTACAATATTGTAACGACGGTTTTATTGACGCGTAGAGAATCAAATTTTACGTTCAGCAATAGTATAATCTTGAATTTCACATATTTTTAGTTACAACACTATTGTAATAGCAGTGAGATATGTCTGAAACACTGTAACTTGTTTGATACGTAATCATACTTATTATCGGCAGTGCTTTTTTATTATATTAAATATGTGTCTTCACATTTTACCACACGAGATATACATTTAACGTAAATACAAATAAGTAAAATAGTTTTCTTCCGTTACATATTTAGCGTGTAAACCATGTGACATTGAATGACAAATTAGGAAGCCAATAAAAAGTGTTCTTACCTCAATAGTGCTTCTATCCCTTTTCCAGCACATGAAATTTCGAACCATAATATACAATATAGCTTTGTTTATTGCAAATTTATGGTCACTGCCGACGTCAATATTTCTCAAAGAAGGGAATAAGTGACTTTATGTCATACATTCTATAAACTGACGTGACTGAGGTGGCCTGAAGGCCTTCAAAGCTTCACTCAGTAGAGCGAAGAAAAACTAGGAAACTTATAGTCCAATGGTCAGTCAACGTATTTGGCTTTTGCCTTGATATCTTAGAAATTTTTACGACAAAAGAGTAGAGAGTACCGGCAAGATTCCTTTAGATTTACCGTTTAAATTTGTGATTTCAGTTTTTGTGAAATAAAAACCGATAAAATCGTATACTCGGTGCTGATTACAGTGCTTAGTTATGCGCCCGTCGTTCGTGACTGAGAATACAAAGAAGTGTACACATGCAAATGTCTTTGTTATACATATAAATTTGCCCTGTTATTGAGCCGTGAAAAACACCTTGAGATGACGCACTACCTATTGACATGTTAGTGTGCTAAAAATACTACTTTTAATTCTACTTTTTTGTAAATCAATGCGAGCTCAGTAGTTGTATTTATGTACACAGCGGTTGAGAACGTGATACACCGTGCATAAATTAAGTTCTTTTCTAAAGAAAATTCATCTTTTAGCTATGAGTGTCGTTGCTTATACTCTTTTCAGATGAATAATGTTTTCCACAAGGTGATTAAGAGCGCCTGCTCTTGTTATTATATTTTGTGTTATGTTTGCTTTCCACGACAAGATAAACTAGTTTATTATCTGTGTATCTTATCTGTATTACTTTTTCGCCCGGCGCTCAAACTTGTGTACTAAAATTTCCTTAAAATTTTAAAAGATTTTGCGAAACTTAATAAAATAGAACTATAAGTGGTAAACGACTCTATGTTCAAGGGAAATAAATTTGCGAATTTGGTGCAATTCCAAAATTACAATCATTAGTAATGAAAAATCTCATATCTTTCTATATTAATAATTTTGGAGTAGTAGAGCTCCATGTGAAAGAGTTCGTCCACGGAAGGACTGCCACCATACTTATTTCTGCCGCCAAGCAGTATTGTGAGCAATACTGCGTTCCGGTTTTGAAGGGGTGCTGGCGAAATTACAGGCACATGGGACTTGTCAACTTATGTCTCAAGGTGACGGGCGCAGTGCAGTGCCCCTCTGATTTTTGCGTTTTAAAGCTCTGCGTAGCACTGCCCCTGTCATGGACAGGCATGTCGCTTACCACCAGGTTCACGACTTGTTCGTCTCGTCACTTCATATCATAAAAAAATGACTAATGACTTACAACAACAATACAACTGAATTGTATGGTATCTGAGTGAATTAAAACTCACCGAACTGCAATTTTAGCATAGGTAAACACTGACGTAATGTATAATATTATATTATACATATTATATTTATGTCCCCAAAAAAACAAAATTTTGCTAATTGCGGCCGTCAACCTTCTGAGATGGAACTTCGCTCAATCCATAAAGACGTACGTTCCCCGTCAGGTTCACTTCAGTGGTTGCATTTTTTGTACTACTTTGTAGGCACGCACATAATGTAGATATGTGTGTAAAAAATGTACTACATGGATTCTGCACCAAGTCTCATATTAATAATAATACATTGAACTGCGGAAGTGGTAAGACATCGAGGCCGATAATATTCTTATCAACGACTGTTGTTCCAGAACGGCGAATGGCAAGGATCAGGTCGAGGTGGCGGCGTTGGCGGTGTCGGTACCGCTCGCAGGAAACAGAGCTTCCCAGCGCGTGCGCACCCCGCACCGCCACACGAGCCCACGCAGACGTTGCAATCAGCTACGTGGCCGCCACATCAATCCGCTTCGGAGAACGTAAGTTTCTTTGAAGTGCAATCGACGTCTGGTAATCTGTTTAGAGTGAGCCCCGTAACCACAATTGACACGTCATATTGACACCTAGAAACGGTCAATTTCAGCTGACCATTATTATAGAATATAGGAGTTATGATTGAGGGAAAGACAAAAGGAAAATGAAAGAGGTGAAGACCAAGAACAGCGTACAGTGAACAAATAAAGAAAACGCCAAAGTAAGCAGCTAAAAAGAGGTCAAGGACCTGACTATGAACTATGAGGAGTGGCGGAAGCTACACCGACAAGAGCCTGGCTCTGACTAGAATGATAATAATATAGAAATAATTCTCAAACATGATCGGAAAAGTTTGCATATTATAAAAAAAAATTAACCCACAAATCTCTTTCTTCGTCAATCTTTGTATTCATTCATAATCATAACAAAACTAGTGGAGCTATTTCACAAAAATCTCAATAAATACATTTGATCGAAAACCTACATCTGCATCAGTTGTGATACCTGTAGTGAGAAGGTTATTCAAAAAACTCTCATTAGATGACAGTAGCGGCGTAGAGTTCCGAAAGCCAGTACAAAGATCTATAACAAAAACACAGGAGTATTTCGATGGCTCGGTAGCTGGATCCGTAGCTCAGTTGGTAAGAGCAATGCCACGGTGCGGCATGGACGTGGGTTCAAGTCCCACCGGGTTGACAAAAATGTTTCTGTGTGTTCGGTCTTTGTGTTCATAATTATAACAAAACTAGTGGAGTTATTTCTCAAAAAGTCTAAATAAATAACCCACAAAGTTTTCCATTTATGGAGCGTGCAACTCTGCCGGCAGTTATCGCGTAACATACATACAAAAGACAGTCCAATTAGCAATCTTCTTCATGTTTTGAAGACAGTTAAAAATGACGTTTTGAAATGACAGTTTTTACACGAATTAATTTCAATTTGGGTATAAAACGTTTTGAGTTTCTTAATTATTTGCTACCTTTTCAAGTCGATCGGTCTATAGGCAATGCTCAATTAATAAAATAATGATAACAACATACTTTAAAAACAGCCAATAAAATAGACGAAAGTCCTTTTTTTTACAATTTTCATTTTATTTTCTCGCCCGTAATAATGCACTATTATAGAGATTTAAGAGTCGTTTTTGAAAAGCAAAACCCAGCTTTAACTCGGCCTTATCGCATTTTTTTCAGCAAGAGCCTATGGAGACCACAGCAGGGACGGGTAGCAACGCCGGAGCCGGCAGTCGAGGCTCGGGTCCTCGCGTGGAATTGTCCTGCAGCAACTGCGGCACGCACACGACGACGATCTGGCGGCGCGACGCGCGCGGCGAGATGGTCTGCAACGCCTGCGGCCTGTACTACAAGCTGCACGGCGTGCCGCGCCCTACCGCCATGCGCCGCGACACAATCCACACGCGTCGCCGTCGTCCGCGGCACGACCCCAAGCACGCGCGCAACAGTCAGTATACACTCTAGTACCAATAAAGGCTTAAGAGTCTATACTGCCTCAAATGGCTTTTTAAAAAATTTGTTTGATTCCGCATAACAGTGAAAGTGTTGAATTAATCACTTTGGAAAAAATATATAAAATCGAGGATATACACCGAGTAGTACATGATGTGAAAAAAAAAACTTTACAAGAAAAACGCTGTATTCAATAGGTACTCTACCAATACCAGTGATTTTTTTTATATCAACTGAACTAAATAGGATACTAAGCGCCCAGTTACACGAGATGAAAGCTTTCGCGCGGTGACCGCATGTACATTAGTACCGAAACTGAATTATATTTACTAGGCAACAACATTTAAATTCCTCTGAATAATACAACAGCGCCGTCGCCGCGCGGCCGCCGAGTAGACCAAATTCAAGCCAGACTCCTCTCTATGCCTGAGACGCTCATTTAAGTTAAAACTTAAATGGTAAATAAATAGAGCGTATTTTGCGACGACAGTTAGACGCACGCGACCACTGTGCGTCGGCCGCGCGGGGTGAGTGCGATGAAATTCGTGTCGAATAAATGCGCCTGTATAGTATATGATATACATTTTTCAAATGGCTTAAATTTCTTTTGTAAAAAGTTAAATTCAGAAATAAAGCCAGTAAAGCCGGCAATGACCGCTCGACCCAAGCAAAATGAACCGTACTATTACAGAAAAGCTTTGAATTCCAGATGAGGTAGTGTCGACTCTTAAGTAAATATAAGTAAACAAACATCAGTTCTCATTTGGTTAACCGATCAAATACAATATTTAGTAGTGAGTTTCATACGTCGTATTATTGCTGTACTCTTTAATTTAGTCGCATGTTATTGGCTTTCATCTTTTTAAAGGCTGTATTTTGGGTTGTTTATTGTAGGAAGTGATCCGTGCTATTAAACATCTTTATTTAAATATCATATTTCGTCGGCTTAGTGCAAGAAGTCATTAATTGCCATATAATTTATATGTTTCGCGATAACTCCGGATTTGGTGGTATGATTTTGATGATCCTTTTTTTTTGTTAGAAAGAGGGCGCCTCAGATTTTTTCATATTTCAGTTGACACCGCGAACTAAGTAGAGGTGGGTGATAAATAACGTCACGATGAAAAAAATCACGATGATCCGCCAGTACGATCAAACAGTATCGTCGTGTCTCGTTCCGAAGGAACGACGTTCCAAAGTCAGTCAGGTGTTCCTCCGTTCCAATAGCTATCCCCGTCACTCATATCACGACATACGTATTTGATACAATGCGCGATCTCCGTTCCGTGGTGACTGAGCGCGCCACTCGTTGTAGTTCTCTTCAAATCGGGCCATTTCGGCGATGGGAGTGAATGAGATACGATGACTTTCTTTGCTCACTCACGAGGGTCATAGGTGTTTATTACTACTAGAAAGGGCGGATGAAAAAATCTGCAGCAGTTACTATAAACCTACTCGTATTTATGAACAAAGTAAAATATTTTTGTATAGTTTTATTATAGGAAGAGTTGGTATTTTATATTTATGTACAATCTACTTTGTGTATTCTACTAGAAATATAATTACATTACACTTTATTGCTATTTTTAACAATCCAAAGATTCGCATTAAATAAGTAACAAACAAAATTACATTAAATACAAAATCAACTTTTTGAATGGAATTGAAACTTATTACAAAGGGAGTAAAAACTTAAATCATTTTATAAAAAACGGCTATAAGTATTAGAAAGAAGCCGCTGGCTAAAACCGTATATCGTGATGTAAGTTATAGGCGTGACAAGGTCACGGAAGTAGCAGTCGTGACAATATCACGATGATTTATCACCGTGATTTTTTTGGAACCGGATCGACAGTCACGGCGGTAGAAATGTAACGCTATGTCGCCCTTCCCGCTTGCCGCTCTTCACCCCCGGACATATCCATAGTCACTACTTACTACGAATTTTCTTAACTTAGCTTTGCATGCTACTATGTGAGCTAAGTTAGCTAGCTTTGTTCGCTGTGTGGCCTGCGCTTACTTAATTTTGGTGTGCTGTATTATTTAAATACTGTCCATGAAAGGGTTAAAGAAACAGGAATCAAGCACGTCAGTGATAAAATTATAACTCCCTACTACAAGTTTCATCGTACAATCTAATTGTTGTATAGTGTTTCAGTTATACTTGTACTGCTCTTTTGCATTCACTACTCGTATCCTGATTTACCTTTCGACTTTGCGATATCGCGAACTCAGTGGATCCCCTGCCCTGTGAATCCTGTACATTCAGCTGTTTGTAGAATATTAACAACCTCTCAGGACTATATTACTAACATGATAAACAAGTTTTGTTCCATGACTTTTTACAAGATGTTATAAATTACCAAAAATAACCCTTTTTTATTTGGGAGTAAGGTAAGTTTAAACGTACAGACGTCATCCTTGATACAGGACCCCCACCTCCGCTCCTGCGTTTTGCATCGGACTGGTATTTTTCTTTTTTTACCGCACAGAGTTATCACCGTTTCGAGCGATCTATTCAAATATTTTAATTTTTGTACAGAAGTAAAATCTGATGAATTATTGAAAGATATGGAACAAAAGTTGTTTGTTAACAATGTTAGTAATATAGATCTGCAAGCTTTGCTGTTATTTTACAAATTTAACGTGGTATATTTTGCGAAAAAATTGTGTAATATGCATAAATATCATATTGCGACAGAATCTCGTCGCGGTGGCAACACGTGTGCAGAACAAGCTACTGCGGGCGAACAAGCAGCCTCTGGCACGACGGAGTCTGGCGCCGAGGAGGCCGTACTGGCCGCACTGCGCAGGCAACTGCAACCGCACCTGCTCGCCGCGCTGCACGCGCAGAACACGCGACTGCACGCTACCACCGATCAGGTAGGACACGGCCAGAGATACACAAAATCTATCAAAATTAACCCTTACGTCTTTTGCATAACGTTTACATTTGTATATGGTTGTGAACAAAATGATTTTTTGTATTGAAAAGTAAGTGCGCATTTGACATCCATCTTACTTTATGGAAAGTGAAGATGAAGTGGACGATGGAGCACGCATACCTAAATAATACCTATTCACTCTCGCTTTGAAAAGAATAACATAGACTTTCTGAAAAAATTACTGTTTCTGGAATCCTTTTCTGTTATGGGAATGGCTGCTAAATATACAGAAATTGTAAAAATTCTTCATTGAAAATGAACCTCACGTCGTCGTCGCCATTACGCAGATTTAATTCGGAATTGCTTATTGCCTGGAAAGGTTTATTGATTTATGAACCAGCCTTAAAACTAGTTGAAATTATAAGGCTCCAATTTATTTATTACATAAAAAAACTATCACAATCAACACTAACCTTAGGACGTAAATCAACGCACGTATCCATTTACATTGAATTTTAAATTGAATACACCCATACACTGTTCAATTCACACAATTATTTTTTAGGCTCCAGAGTACGACGAGGCGCCATTAAACCTGGTAGCAAGTCACGTAGCTGCGGAGGAGACGCACTGACTGCCCACTGCGCACGCGCCGACGGGACCCGACGACCTCCGTAACGTACCCCATTGATAATTGACCCTGATTATTTACAGGCCACCTACTTGGTACTGGCGCGCACGGAGATTTTCTATTAAGTTCGTTTTTGTATTATTGTACAGACCAATCGCCTATATGTTATATGCGGTGTGACGCATACATTTATGTATTGTTGGTAGTAACCATAAACGGTTACTATGGCAACTGACAGTTGAGAGACATTTGACGTAAATCGTTACTGTATTGTTGGTTTCATTTGTTAGTCGATCGATTTGTAAGTGTTTTTTGACTATAAATCGAGATACCGTCACGACGTCGAGGTCGACGATGAAGCAAGTTACCCAGAAGTTGGATTTTACGCTACAAAATGCGTCGTTATCATAACTAACGCATTTGCATTTCGGTAACTTCCGACATATTAGCACCTAAAGTTTTATTGTCACATAAGAACGTCACTACGCTGATTTTGCTAACACAGATTGGAGGGGATCCCAGATACGTTAATAACTCAATTTCGCTAGAAAGTCGATTACGTTAGTTATGATAAGCTTCCATTTATACCAGAATCTCCTTATTACAAATAAAGTTTCTTTTTTTGCAATGACGAGATATCATGAAAATACAATTATAGGCACTTTACACAGTATAACACCACATCTACCGAAATTTCGACTGCGTATTGTCAACTCTTACATGTCTTTCAAGACCTTAGCCTTGCAGACATTTTTAAGGAATCTTTTTTCGTCATACAGAGTGTAATTTCGCAGTGTCCGCTAGACCTTCATCACCGCCGACACATCCAAATGACGTTCACGAATCGTAACTGCCTGTACGTGGGATGAATTAATATCGTTCAATGAACACATCGTAAATGCTATTTGGACGTGTCCAGGTTGGACGAATCGAATTTAATCAACGAATTCGTCAGGTAGCTTCTAACTCGGCTATTGAAATTCACTCTGTATTAAGACGCATTGATTAAAAACTAAGCTACTAGTTTTTTTTAACATTCAAATGAAATTTGTTTAATGAACTACTTTAGTAATGCAATAAGCTCCGTTTCGTACATGGAGTTTTTAATATGGATTAAATATTTTTTTAATAATGGGTTACGAAACAGTGAAGGAAAAATCTTCTTTCGTAACAAGTTATGAAAAACAGTTTCGTAGATGGACCAAAGGTATCTCATCTTTTCTATCGTGATATATTTAATTATGTATTGACAATATTTTCGATATCAGGTTTGGATAGTTAGACAAATTACACCTTAGTGTATTTTTGTCCTTGTAATATTGATTTCAGTAAATTGCGGGTCCCCAAAAATATATTACAAAAACCAGAACAGTTCATGTCTTTGGTCAGTTCCAAATAGTAAACCCGAAACTTAATTAATTGCCAATTGCATTATTTTGACATATAAATATTTAAAAAATCGAACCTGTTCTCCGCTCATTTATTGTCAATTTGATCTAAGAATCTCGAGGCAAAACTGTACATGCATTGGTAATAATTGTTTAGAACTTGAGAATCTATAGTGATAAAATGGCCAGTGTATGCAGAGCATAATAGAACAGGAACATTTTAATTCGTGACTCGAATATTATTTTGAAAACACAGAGCATTATCATGACTTTTACTCAATATTTACTAAGTAATATGTAATGAAATTTCATGTATTTATGGTCAATAGCGTTATTTACGTTGAACATCGTAGGACATCCCATTGTAATTCGTGCCTTGAACTAAAGATTGCATTTTTAATACATAACTAATGCTAAAAATATTTCTATTAACAACAATTACAAAAATTACAGCAAAAAACATGTTACATTATGACAGAAAAAATCGGGACAGTTCGTTGGGGAACAACGTAAATAACCTCAGGAATTTACTTAAAATGTTTTATAAGTGATCAATCGCTTTCGTGACAGATTTCAATAGAACCCTGTTTGTTCATGCTGTTAATTTTTTGCCTATTTACTGTAACGTTAAGGTCAGACGTTGGTAGTGACGAAATGTGTTCCCTACTGAGTGACTTAAGATCACATGTTAGATACGCAACAGGTTTCATCTATGGCGTTGACTTTGTACGCTCATATGTAAATGTAAAGAAACGTGACTGTTCTAAAAGTTGTGCGCTATATGCTTTATACCCTAGAAGCCATAAAATTATTTTTCAGTTTTCCACAAACAAGCAATTTGAAAACATACATACACATTGTTCTGTTGTAGAATAAAAAATAAATTACTACACAAATCAAATCCCTATTGAAATGTAAAAAAGGTTAAGCACTATTTTTAGACCTGTCAAACAATTTATTTCTAGAAATGAATCTCAAGAGAATGAATACAAATAAATAAGTTTAAATTGCGATGTGTAAACAAATTGATCTGAATTATTTTTTATGTGTTGGTAGTACGTTCGATTGTGAATTTAGTGCGGCTACGCCATTTAATCACTTTGAATATTAATTGTCGATAAGATAGCTGTCATAAAGTATGATAATAAAGAACGTTTTCTGCACTATGATATGATATGACTATACGATGCTAAAACATACTTTGTTAGCGGTTTAGTAACCTAGTTCCACATGCAGCCTAATGTAAACTATATAATAGTTTGTGCACCGATGTCCAGCCGTGTCGAACTCACTGTCGTGCATTAACTAAAACGAGGCTATGTGACAAAATAATTTTTAAGATATCATATAAAAACTATAACCCAGTTTTAGAATATTGAAATTTTTTCAAGATATCATTCGTTTCGATATATCCAATCGTTAACTAACTTTAATTGTTTTGAAATAGAGAATTTTGATCTCTATCTTATGCTGTTTAAAACGGATATTTGACCCCATGTCACTTCGCCGCGCTTTAGTGGACGGCATCTCTATATACCACATTTTGTCAATACCAATAGGTATCTTTCAATAACGCAGTATTGCAGAATATTACTGTTATGCATTGAGCGCACAGCGACGAGCAGGGCAAGCAATTATCGTGAATGAAGAATCCATTTTCTTACATATTAACAAAAAAGAATTAACGAAAAACGATAGGCACTTTATTCACGATAAAGTTTCGCTTGCTCTGCTCGTCTCTGTACGCTTCTTAGTTCAAAATCGTAGTATTTCAATACCGCGTTAATGTATAAAACAGGAAAATAACTACGAAAACTTTTAATGCGAAGTAATCATCAATTGATAGGAACAAGGTGTAACTTCACGTGTGGACAAAATTGGCACCCAAACACGTTTGTGCATAGTACGGAAAACGCTCTCATACTGATTTTTAAGCCTTGCCTTAAAATGCTCTCTTGACATTGATGATATTATAATATTAACGGTTACCTATTGCAGGAAGCGAGTATTCGTTTAGGTTTAGGTCGAGTAAGATATTGTAAATTTTATTTTACTTAGTAGTAACAGTAAATTTAAATTCATTAAATTATAGTAATCTAATTTATTTCCCATTTCGGTCAGTATTTACGATGTAAGTATTTTTTATAATATGTCTTGCAAGTATTTTCTTTATATAAGGATATAAAACGTGTTATGATATGAAGCAATAATGAGAAACAAGTCTATATAAAAAAACCTCCAATTATTAATGTAAGAGACGAATAGCAATACAGTTGAACAATAATTTGATTCAAGATAATAATAGCATCATTGACATTATACTAAGGATGTAATAGTTCATTTAACACGTAGTATGTGCAGATGTGATCGCATTAATCCATTACGATTTTGGCATTATTATATTAATAGATATTATTTATAAACATTTATTTTAGTAACTCCATGTGTATATAACATGTGGATATGGTATTTTGGGCATTTTCGGTTAATAACGTAAATGACAACTTTTAACCAAAACATTAGTGGCATTATTTGAGAAAATTAATTTTCACCGGATTCACCTCAGTTGTGGTCAGTGTTTATTTATGTGTATTAATAACAAAAAGCATTTAATATCTCCATTTCCTTTACTAGGCTGTTTTGTTATTGCTTCCGACTTCTACTTATGAACCCTTCGATCACCGTCCTTTACTAAATCCTACTTAATTTAGTGATAATTTTATTTTTTTTTTGTTATGGAAATCCCACGGGCCAGTAAAGTACTACAGTCTATGAGACAAATGTGATAACGTTAGCTACTTATACTAGTAATGCTGCCGCAGCCGTAATCGACGCGTGCGGCAGCCACGAGTGCATTCTACGAAATGCACGTGATTTTGTTGCAGCTAAATATACAGTAATAGTATCACGTATCTATGCGTCAAGCTTATCGTATTAAAAGCTTTAAACTCGAGATTATTTATTCTTTATTATTGGGATCACTGTATGTATAGTAAATCATCAATTAGTAGTGTAATCTTTTTAAGAAGCAGTCTACCTTGACAATAAAGTTTCGTAACATTTAACGTGTAAAAATCTCAAGTAATATTCTCAAAAGTTCGCTCTCTATCGTTCAGCATATTAGCTCTCTGTACTATGATATTAAATTGAAATTAACCATTTATTGTTAAGTGAGATTTGCACGTAAATATGCATATTTTTCTAAATGATATCTTCGAGTATATGCGGATATTACAAATGCCCGTCAATCCAATTGATTGGATTATAAAGAAACTTAGTGTTTCATGTATCGCATATGAAAGTAGGCTGAAGTATCTCCACTAACGTTGCTGCTAGCAGTAGTGATACAGTATTATTTTACTCTGTACATTTGTCTTAGGTTTATTATTTTTTATAATTACGTAGCTGTAATTAGATGACGTCCGAATTCATTATTGTTTAGTTACGATTTTTTTCTGTACTGTATAACCTCACTCAATGTTTCCTACTTACGTATAATTTGTGGTCTTTAGTACCTATTTATTTTCTGAACAGGGATTGTCTTTAACAGAAATCGTCTCTTTCAAGTTACACCCGTGATCTTCCAATTTGGTTATTTATTAATGTTTAGGTTAATTTATGGATATTATTATTTTTAAGTCGATGAACAAAGTATATCGATGTTTAGTTACTAACAAACCGGTTGTGTTGTGTGTGCTTACGCTCTAACAAGCATGTGTTTGCAGTTTCGTGTAGTTTTGTCTCTTCTCCATGTAGGGTTGTAGACAGTGTACCAATTATTTTGTGTTTCGTAATTTATGCTGAAATATTGTCTCCATAGTTTTCTGTCTCAAAAATGTATGATGTTCATACTCATATTTAGTATATTATAGTATCTGTGGTATGGTATACAATTAAGTGTATTTCTAACGGCAGCTTAATGAATAAACCGATAAAATAAATAAATGTTAAGATCCCAGAAAATAACAATTTATATAGCCCTCAAATAAATTCCATTGGAAATACATCTAGCGAAGACTGACGAATGATCTTTCAAATAATGATAATTCGTACGAAAATCCATGTATAAATAAACTAAAATGTGATATATATGTTTGATGATAATGTATGTTTCCGAAAAGCAATAAAGTATGTGATAAGTGTATGAGCAATGTGCTTCGTATGCAAATCTCAGGTATATTCTGAGTATATGACTAATGTTGTCAATTAAAAGTGTTACGTGACTTTGAATGATTGAACACACAATAAAAAATACATCGAAGTTATACAAATGACAATTATTTACGATAATGATCAATACTTTATTATAATATAATTTCATTTTCCTTATTAAAAGAAGTAGTAAATAACGTTCTGTTTGGTAATATTGGGAGTTCGGTCGTTCAGAGTCCTAATTCCAACATTGTCGCAGATATTATAAGTTGTTTTTTTATTCAGAGGCTTGTTCGAATTGTGGCGTTCTCTTTCTTTCAAATCGCATCGTAATAAGTAAGAAAGAGAAAGGGACATCGAAGCGCTGAATATCAATTGATATTAAGAATTCATAAATATTGTATGATACTTCATAATTAATCTATCAGAAACTGGTTGGTCACACATTTAGAAATACGTATATTCTTCTATACGCGTAACTTTCACTTGTGTGTTATGTAATATCTAAGTAATTGTAGACAAATTACATAATCTGTAATTACGTTGCAGCTACTCTTAAAAACTGAATAGCATTGTAGTTATTAATGATAACAAAAGCAATAATTATGCGACTATAGGAAAGCTTAAAGGACCATTGTTAATTGTTGTCGTCAAATTACCTAAATGTATGTATTTATTGTAAGTTTCAGCATAAATTATCCGAATGAGATTGTTTCAAGTGAAGTGGCCGGAATACTCATTGTGAAAACATTAATTATTGTTGTATAGATGATAAATAATGTGACTTACGCAGGGATGGATACTTAAATTATTAAAATTTTAACTGATATATTGGCTATGTAGTGAGTAGAATATTTTTTTACAAATAAATTATAGCAGCTACGCTTTTGTTTTCTTTCTTTTGTTTCTCCTTGGCCAAAATTTAGCTTTGCGCTTGTTTCTGCGTGGACATTAAAACATAAGATCATTGGTAAAACATCGTTATAGCTACAAATAACTTCGCCATAACGACGAAATTCACTTTTTTACGACACGAACCGACTAAATAGCTCTATAGGTTCTTGACATTCAAAAATAGCGCCGCGGAATACGCTTGTTTCAGCGTGGATAGTAAAACACCCTTATAACTTTTAACGGCGGACCGACTAAGGCTCAATTTACATTGCGGCGGAACGGAATTAAAGCGAATTTTTATAACGATATTGTATACCGCATAACGAACTTTACGTTCAATTGTGTAAAGTGCAAACTAGATACGAGACAAAAAACAGGTCGCGGGCGTCTTCCGTTCCAACTGCAACGTATCACGTCTACGGAATAGGTTGTGTACCGTACCAGAAAAAACGGATTCAGATTAAAATTGATCTAATTGGTGCAAAAATATGATTGTATAATGGAAAAAACTACAGCGACAAAAATTCTAAATTGTATGAGGTTTATCAAAGCATTTCATAACAATCATAAAAAATAGTAGGATAGAGATAAATCTTTACAAAATGTTTCATACTGTCCAAAAAGTTTTCGTTTCTTCTATAAATCATGAACCCAAATATCCCTTTTTCTGTTTTTCTTCCTTTTCTCTTCTTTTTCTTCTACTTCACAATAAGCTAAATAAAAACAATATCCAAGTCCACCATTCTTGACGTGTGAAAGATCTACACTGAACAACTACCGACGACGTAGTATGCGCGGTAATGGTCGAGCAGTCTGGCGATTGCGCGCCAGACTGCTCGAGCATTACCGCGAGACAAATTCGTTGCCGTTCCGCCGAAATGTAAATTCAGCTTAATGTAGTTTTTTTTTCGACTAGAACCGTCTAAATGGCGACTTTTTCCCTGACTAATCAAAAATACTTGGAGCATGATCACGCTAGTACAAGGAACGCCCCGCGATTGCGTTCGCGTTCATAATGAGTATCCTATGTATAGTTAACAGCACATTTACTATACACTTTTGTTCGAATATCGCCTCCAGCGTAACGGACTAGAACCCATGAATGTATAACTTGGTATGCTGCCGTCTGGACTAATTGAGATCACAGACATTATACTTTTATTATTCAGCAGTATTTTATTATAGTAGTGAATTAACGTCTACAAATGAACTCCGAAGTGATTTCAACAATTATTTATTTGCAAGAACAAGTTTAAGTAACAGTGACTATGGGCCGTTTAACAGCCTGCCGAGCGCGTCTTCTTTTGTCGCGTTGCTTTCTCGCTGTTGTAGCTTCGCGGAATAACTGTTCTGATTCTGCCGCCTCCACCTCACGGCGAAGCCATTGCAGGGCATGTAAGTTGTAGCCTACCATATCCTGAGACAAAATAGGAAATTATTAAACACCTTAACATGGTTATTGTAAAATAATGGGTTATTGTAAAATATTAAAAACCTTGCCGGGTTTTTTTTTTTGTTCCCTGGTTTACTGAGTACAAAACTAAGAGACGATCTAGTTATCGCTTTGAGACTACGTTCCGGTCACATTCCACTGAATAAATTTGCATTTTTTATTGGAAAAGCTGACAAATTGTAGTAAATGTGGCATTATGGAAGATGTTTACCACATAATTATGGAGTGTAAACGGAACGAGGTACAAAGATCTAACTTATAAATTTAAAAAAATAATAATATTGGTATTGCTAACGGTATATTGGCATCTCCGTGTAGTATAGAGGCTTTTTTTTTTTTTTTTTTTATACATGACAGGCAAATGACTCCACTCCACCTGAGATGCTAAGATGCTATACAATGTAGTGGATTCCGGACTTAAGAACAAACAAAACTAATTATATACTTTGTAAACTTTTTGTTGTGTGTGGAACAAAACTCTCTACAAACAACAAAGATTAAAAAAAAAAATTGTTTTACGACTTAATAATTCATCACATTTTTCTTTCATATACAAATATTTAAATAGATCACTCTAATCGGTGATAACTCTGCGCAAAAAGCCCGAGCGCGGGTAGGGGTCGCCGGAGAGGACACATTTGAACTTACTACCTTACTACAAGACTGCAGACCTAAAATGTGTCAGGTAGTAATATCTATGAGTACAACAGAAACTTAAAAGTTTATTTTTGATAAATTTATTATGTTTTATAAAAAGTCATGGAACAATATATTATATGTAGGCTGTAAAGTTGTTTGACGCGGGTAATTGTATTGGAACCTGAGCAAGCAAAGGATTCTAAGATTGAACCACAAGCGTAGCGAGGGTTTCAAGTCACGAGAAGCAAAATAATTTGCTGCCGAGCATTGACTTACAAATAAATGGACGACGGGTCTAATACAAAAACCACGAAAAAAATGTCCCAAGTCAACCTATTCGAAATTTAAATTGTAATGTCATCGCAGTATCGCGCTGTCAGTAGAACAAATGAAGACTAAAGCGGAGTATAGCGCTCTGTATACGATTTTAGCGCCTTACAAGTGCGGACACTTTTTAGCGCGGACCCGACGTCCATATAATTGTAAGTCAATGCTGCCGAGCGAAACACATAACTTTTCACCTCACTGTAAATATAATACAGAAAAACACTTGAACTATAACAAATCAGTTTTAATAAACAAAATTAGTTATCGTTGTCAATTTAATGTCAACAATAGTAAGAATATAATATACCAACGGATTTATATTACATAAAGAATGTACGACAAATCGCGTAGTTGAACGTGTCATTGTTTCAACGTCTCAAATCCACACAGTCCATCGTCAAGTTCGAATTTCAATAACGCTTTTACGCGCAGATTTCTAATGAGAAAGAAAGCCTAACCTTTCTGAGCTAGTGAAGTAAAAAAGTTATTGGTTATGATGTTAGTAATATTGTCGTGCGAGGTAATATAATAACGCGCACACTTATTACCACGTTCTCCTTATCACCGGACACAAAATATACAAAGGTATTCCAAGTCACCAACTTCACCTTTCCAACACGCTACACGGGCACAGAATTATAGCCCCGCACTAGGCTAACCCTGTATCGCGGCTGCCATGGACACGCACATAGACAACCATAAATTACACCCAAATTTACGAGACAAATAAATGTAGGCCATACTAATATTTCTCCCGGTCCGGGAATCGAACCCGGGACCTCGTGGCAGATCAGCATAGTAACCGTTCAGCCACAAAGGCAGTTAACGTCAACAGTTAAGTTAGTCAACAGTTAGTATTTTAAAAATAACACTGTATAAGTAAGGACGATCCGTTAGAACTCTGATAGAACCTAGGATTTTAATGAAAATGAATTATTTATATCACAACAGAACTTGAAATTCTAAATGGAACTAAGTAAATAACTACAATATATAAAAAAGGACGTATAAAATACTCTTTGACAAAATTCAACACTAAAACAAAACACTATCACTATTGACAGTGTTTTGTTTGGAAGATGCAGTTGGTGTGAATGTTCTTGTCTATAGATTGAAGTCGTTGTGTAGACCCATCGAGTATATAACCAGAAATAGGGACGAAATAAGGGCCATATATTCCTCGTAACACATTAGCGATACAGCTCTTATAAATATCAACTCCCGTTTGCATTGAAATATGCAGGCCAACTACTGACCTGTGCGTACGTCTCCGTATATTCCAAAAAATATTCTGTGTATTTATTGAATTGACTTACAATTATATGGACGTCGGGTCCGCGCTAAAAAGTGTCCGCACTTGTAAGGCGCTAAAATAGTATACAGAGCGCCAAACTCCGCTTTAGTCTTCATTTGTTCGACCGACAGCGCGATACTGCGATGACATTACAATTTAAATTTCGAATAGGTTGACTTGGGACATTTTTTTCGTGGTTTTTGTATTAGACCCGTCGTCCATTTATTTGTAAGTCAATGATTTATTGTAATAAATATAATATCTCTAACAATACCGTGCTGTTCTATTCGATGGTGTGGGAAAAACAGCAAAACATCTAATTACAAAACAAATGGAATCACATTTCATCGGTTATTAAATATGTAATTTTGCGATTATAATGGTAAGCAAAGCTCAAGTTAACTGGTCGGCTTGAAGTGAAACAGTTGGCGACGCCCATTGACGATACCCGTCAATTGTTTCGAACTCGGGCTAGCCAATTGGAGCGCAGTCGTTATAGTAATGATATGGCAGAACAGTTTTCAAACAAATTAAATGACATTCGTCTCTATTTCTGGTTATATATACGATATGTAGAGCAAAAAATATAGATTTCTTTATACTGATGTTAAATGACCATTTAATGCGTAATTTCATGGGACATCCGTTGATTCGACTGAATAATTGAATGTCTAATTTCCCCACTCAGATTAACTTTTTTTTAACTGCCTCTGTGGCCGCCGGACGGTTACCATGCCGGACTGCCACGTAGAGGTCCCAGGTTCGATTCCCGGGCCGGGAAAAATGTTTGTATGGCCTACATTTATTTCTCTCGTGAGTTTGGGTGTAATTTGTGGTTGTCTTTGTGTGTGTCCATGGCACCCGCAACACAGGGTTTCCCTAGTGCGGGGTTATGTTGAGTGCGTGCGTTGTTATTGTTGTTATTATTATTATTATTATAACTTTTGAAACAAATATCATTGTCAGCAATTCAGCCCAAACACGTCCACTGCTGGACACAGGCTTGCCCCAAAGAGGGCTAAAAACAAGTAGCTATATGAACACACAAAACAAGTATATTATAAGAAAAATAAGTAGTATGCATCGTAGCGGATGCTACATTTCTCACGGAATGAACCCTTAGTTCGAAATTACAGGCATATGGGCATTGTCAACTTATGTTTCAGGGTGTCGGGCGCAGTGGCAGTGCCCCTCACATCCTTGCGATTTAAAGCTCTGAGTGGCACTACTACTATTTTGGACAAGCGCGTAGCATACCATCAGGCGCTGGGCTTCTTCGTCCTGTCTCGTGTGAAATTATAAAAAAAATCTTAATTGAATTATTGAGCTGCTGCTAGAAAGTTTAATTCCAAAAGATACATTGCCGGACAATGACGATTATAGTCTGCCATTTTTGACGACGGAGTGAAATGACATTTGTTGCCAGTTTTCATAAAATTTTTATTGTTATGTAGTTGTTGACGATAGTTTTATCGATAGATTGTGAAAGAAGATAAAATTTTGCCAAAAATTACTGAATTGTGAATGTTAAGAACGTTATAATGATTACTGATCGCGTTGTTGCTTTCATTATTCTTATTTTAACAGTGGGTCTACTAGTCTCGAGATCAATTTTTATTTATATACATTTTAACAAGAATTGCCAGATTTGATTATGTATATTGAATTAAAATGAAAAACTTGTCTCCTCTTTGTATTTTTCATAAATATAGTTTTAAATACAGAGTGTGCATGTATGAACTTACGTAAATTGACAATTCAAGTGAACTTGTCAATAATTGGATGAATATAGTAACGAGGATCATTCAAATGAAACAAGTTCGGCTGTTTATCCCATAAGCGTGACAGTCGATAGTCGGTAAAATATTTATCGACTGCAATCACTAGCGGCTCGCTTTACTCTGCCTGTCATTTTACTCCATCTTCAAAAAAGACAGACTATAGGAAGTTTAGTGTCTTCACCTAAACATCGTAATATAACTTTCCCAACAAAGATAACTTACCCGTAATTCCGCCAATCGCATATTCGCCTTAGCCTGAATTTGTATCATGTGTTTCAGCAGGGCTTTGTTAGCAACCAATGACGCGTGATGCACTCGCAGAAGGAACACTGCGAGTCGGCAGAATAGCTCGATGCGGTCGCCGCGGTCCAAAAGGGCGGGTAACAATCTCACTATTTCGCAGGCTGCGTTGAACGGGAGTAGCAGAAGAGCTTCTTCCAGGTCACTGAATCATGAATGGATATGTTATTGGTATTATATTCTAGGATATATTAAAAATCTTCCAGCGAATATTTTGAATAAAAATAGTATAATGAACAAAAAAATTTTGCTTTCGGGAGTAAATATTATTATAGCGAGTATTTTCACAAAAAAAATATGAATGTCATGGTAGTAAAAACTTCATGGTATTCAATAAAACAAAAATTTCATTCATATTTTTTTACTCGTTATAATAATATTTACCCGCTTCAGACTCGGTCATCATAAATCATCGGAGCAGGACATCGATATTGTGGTTTCTCTCTCGCCTGCTTAGTGACGTACAAACGTGACGCGCGCACATGCCCGTTATCGATAAAAACAAATGAGTCATTAAGGGCTTGTGGCAGCAACGGTTGTCATAATGATTAGTTTTTACTAAAATCGTATTTCACCTGTCGGAACTAATGTTACGGCTCACACACGTATTGTTATCAATAATGTACTATTGCATAAATATTTTTTAATTTCCATTTCTACTTTCACTATGACAATAAGATCGAACACCATCTATATCATAGGTTCCCAAACTTTTTGGCTCACCTCTCACTTACGCAAGATAAAAAAATTTCGACGCCCACCACCAATATAAAAATAATTGAAAATACGTATTTTTTATATTAACTTAAAAAAATCACATAGAAACAATATATTTGTAGTGTACATAATTCAGGTTTTTTTAAATGCGGCAGCCCGGACAACTTCAAAGGCCGAAATTGATTCCGAGGTCCCTACCGCCTCCCTAGAACTCTTTAGCGCCCAATGTTGGGGGGCGGTGGCATAGTTACCCAAAGCAGTCCCCACGTTGGGAAACTATGATCTATATTAATAAAATTTGTCAACTGCAGTAATGCATGGCCCTGCGCTTAAACAAAATAAATATAAATAAATAAATATTAAATAACATCACGTACGTTGCTCTGATCCCAAAGTAAGTAGCTAAAGCACTTGTGTTATGGAAATCGGAAACAACGACGGTACCACAAACATCCAGACCCGAGACAATAATAGAAAAGTTAGTTTTCTACACTGACCTGGCCGGGGATCGAACCCGGGGCCTCAAAGATGGCGACACCATGAAAACCGGTGTGCAGCACACTCGACCACTGAGGCCGTCTAAAAAGGGCAGTAACTTCTCGTACCCTACTGGTGAGTGGGAGAGAGAGCTCAATATCGCTCTCACGCTTCGATAATTTATGGCCGAGTCTGCAGCGAGCAAATCATCTTACTAATGTTTATTATTATGGATATAGAGATCGAACAAACAAAGATAAATTCTTTCCATTCGACAAGACTCGAGCGAGTATATGTTACCTTACCATGGCTACGGCTCACACAAAATATATTAGAAATAAAAATCTAATTTGACATATTTACAGATCAGTATTTCGCAATTGTGTACGATACCGTAGTACGAAAATGGAATAAGCAAAAGTAGTATAACGAGTCTTTATGACATGAAAATTAACTCAAACTTTTTGATACTTAGATGACCGACTTCAAAAAAGGAGGAGGTTCTCAATTCGACTGTATGTTCTTTTTTTTTGTATGTATGTTACGCTATAACTCCGGTATTTGTGAACCGATTTTCATGATTCTTTTTTTGTTGGAAAGGGGGTACTTCCATAGTGGTCCCATTTCATTTTGAAGGAAATCATCCACCTCTAAGGGTGGCTGTTCACGCATGAAGATTCATTTTTATAAATAGCGCTTAACTTTAATTTAGGAGCAATTACTTTTAGCAGTTATTTAGTTGATTTTGCTATTTTTCCAATTCAAGGCGTTTTTCCCTCGATATACTTTAAGTAGTGTCGTAGTGAGAACCTATTTTTATTATCTCCAGTATCAAGTCTTGTATAGTGGCGAACTAGGGGATATTTCAATGAAACTTAGCAAATAGACGTAATTCCACGTACTTTTGAGGTCGGTTTTTTTAGTACTCTGTACTGAGATTATTATATTAGCACTATCTATGTTATTCCCACTGTACGACATTTAGTTTATTTCTATGTTACTATCGTGAAGCCGTGGTAGTCTTGGTTTGACCTACCGCCTCTCAAGCAGGAGCTGTGAGTTCCAATCCGAGCTAGCACCTCTGGGTATCTCAGAATTTTTGTGCAAAATGATTATTAATACAAATATCGAACACGCAGAACAATTTCTTCGACTAGGTGGGACTTCCGCTGATAAGCACGGGTCTCCTCTTAGGCGAGGGTCATGGCCTAGACCCTCGCCTAAGAAGAGACCCGTGCCCATCAGTGGAACGTACAAATGCGTTGATGATGATGATCGTGACAGAGTCGTTTAATATGAGCCACTCACCTAGATCGTACCCTAGCAACGGTTTCAGCAAAGAAATCTTCAGCAGTGGAGCAGTTGAAAGCAGCCATGAGCAACGGCGCCTGCACGGGCTGGCCGCGAGCTTCGGCTACTTCACGTTTGTAGTCGGCGCCAACCGACAGACATTCCATTATTGAGTCCGCCTGGTCATAAATAATTTAAAACTGGACTATAATCTACTTTACATAGCATGGGTGCGACGACGTTTAAGATTTGAAATTTCTAGAGATGTAGTGATATCAACCGAATGATAGAAAAACCGATTTAAATATCTTATTGTGATAGTTTGTAACGAAGAGAGACTCGATTTAGAGAGTAAAATTAAGGACAATTAACAAACAAAATAAAAATGACAATTATTATGTTATTAAGTTACTAAAAAACTACACAACAAAAAATCAACAAAAAAGCATAATATCAACAGCAACGAACCGAAATTTGAACAATTACCCCAAAAACTTCACAAAAAGCTCAAAACAAAAAGGGGTCCTTTTCCCATATAAGGTGTATATGCACGCATTACATACAGATACACTATAGCCGATTCGATTTATGGACAAATATTCCGGTTTACGCGTCAAGTACTTGGGGTAACTTATTTTTATCTTTATCATTCCAGTTTCTATCTATTTATATAGTGTAATTTTTACTTAAAGTTACAATTGAAACAAATATTGTTTTTTTTATATTATAACAAATTTACAATTTTGTCATAGTAATTAATACGAGTACAAAGATCGAACACTTAGAGAAAATTTCTTCGGACCGGCCGGATTCGAACCGATGCTTCCATGCAAACCGTACCAGACGCTATGCCAACTAAGCCACAGAACGCACCAGCGGACCTCACGAATGTTTCTATGTGCTTGTTGTTGGATCTTTGTTTTTGGTTTTACCGACTTTATAGCCGTAGCGTCATCTATGAGAGTTCTATGAAAGTATTTCTTCACCCAATTAGGTACCTTTACAGCTACCAGCCGTGGCTAGAGATGTCGCTTTTAATTGTAATTAAAAGTATATTATGGATATATCAACCTGATTGTGCGAGTAATTGAAAATGGTATGCATACAACGTAAAAATTTGAAATGTCATAGTACCCATCACACGGAAATGGACTATAAATATACCAAACTAATAGCACAGTATAAATAAGACAAGTAGTCGCAACTCCCGCCGGTTCGGCGCATCAATTTAATGCCTACACGTCGTCGCTCGGACGTAGGGTTGCCACATTATTATTTTAGTTATACCTAAAGGTTGAAACATAGTTCAAAAAAATTAGGTCTTCATCTTAATATTCTCGTGCTATATTGAATTAAACTTTCTCAAATGCAGTACTTACGTATTGATATTTTTATACCCATATTGCGGATTGGTATCTCGATTATGGGACTGATTATGAAATAGAAATGAAATGCGAGTTTATATTTAATACGCATTTCAACAACGGTTCATTCATAAATTTAAAAAATTATAAATTAGACACAGATAATATTTATCGACGATTAGAATCGGTTCTAAAGACATTATTATTTATGATCCAAAAGTCAAATAGATTCTTATGTTCGATAGGTATCCAGAAGAAAAACAATTTTGAATATTAGTTCAAACAATCATAAACACGACGTCTACTTTTTTTTATACATCCGGACTAGGAAATCCTGTGTCTATGCCATGGACACACCCACAGACAACCACGAAATACACCCCCAGTCACGAGAGAAATAAATGAAGGCCATATAAACATTCTTCCAGGCCACAGAGGCAGTTATGTGTAAGAAACCTGCATCAGCTGTTGCTGGCCTTGGTTTGCAGCCGAAGTCGACCGAAGCGACTGTGTGTGTCGCATTCGGTAAGGCGAAGTAGTCTATCAAAGGTCGGCAGATGACCGGGTGTAAATGCGCCATAAGGAGGGCAGTATGTTTGTATAAAGTTACACTACTTACCTCATCATACTTTTCCTTCTTAGGAACTGCTGAAAGCTTAAAGTTTTAACGTTTTGTTCACTAAACTAGCAGAAGTTGTTAAAGATGGACGGATACTCACAGCTTTCTCCGCTCCGATGGTTTTCTTAGTAGGCATATTTAGCCCGGGTAGTCCGGGAACTGGTGCCTGAAAGTATATTTTTTTAATAAGTAATAGACAAGCATTTCAATCCACGATTTCGCCTGATTGCAAGTGTTGTGGGTTTTTATTTTAAATTTAAAGAGCGGGACGAATAAGGTACACAAAAGGAGCCTCCCCATAACTTAAAATTTAATATAAACAAAAATTAATAACTTCTGCTGTCCTGATTTTTTCGTCCCATACAGTGAAATGGTCCGTACATAAAACTGAGTTATTAATTTTTATGGACAAATCACGTTTGACCAAAATATTGACTATGCCAAAATTGTTTTCACAAAAAGACTTAATGGTAGACAATTTCCTTGTATCTTCTATGATTTCGGATTTCCCCATACTGTCCCATTTAAGAAAACACTCTATATACATTTTTTCTAATACAAGCGTAGCTATTTTGCGCGATTTAACCTCTACCAGGTTCGTAGAGTAGCAAATTAATTTACTTCCATTTTTATTAACATGGACTTCCGCAAAGTAACGCCTGAATCTATTAATTACTACAGAAAATCCTAGATTGGGGTAATTAGTTGGTCTTCTTATATGGTTCAAAGTCTGAAACTTACATGGTTTTCTCCCGTAGCCAGCCCTTCCTGCTCCTCATCTTCGTCTCCAAGCACAATTGGTTCCTCCGTGCGGGTGTACAAGCGCAGCGCGCGGTCTGAACCGCACGAGACTGCGTGCAGTCCGCCCGCGCCGACGGCTAGGCCGTAACACTCGCCTGCGTGGCCCTGCAGTTATATTGGCGTACATAGTCGTCACTCATCAGCAGTTTGAGAGGAGCCGTGTCCAACGGTATAACATAGCCCCGCACTAGGAAAACCCTGTGTCGCGGATGCCATGGACACACACATAAACACAGTGAATGTTCCATTCGAGTGGTCTTAGAAGGCTACTCTTACGAACATATGGCGATAGATTCCTCAAGGTTCCGTACTGTCTGTAACTCTCGTACTACTGCATATCAATGATATGTTAATTCCAGGTACTTTTGCGTATGCTGATGACAGCACAGTTGTAGATAGGTATTTGACCAATGCAAGGGTCAGTGGAGAAGAAATTCAGTCTTGTCGAGAGTCCATGGTTAGCCGTTTAGATTTGACGCTCAAGGCAGTCTCCGATTGGGGCGATGCCAATCTTGTCAAATTTAACGCTACCAAAACGCAGGCGTATCTATTCTCCGCAAAACGGGTCCCTTTGAGCTGACTCCGACTTTTCGTGATATATCCATAGCGATAGCCGACCGTCTTCAGCTACTTGGCATGACTCTGTCGTCCAATCTGAACTTCGGCAGATACTTTGAATCCATGGCCTAAATGCAGCCAGGAAGCTTGGCATCCTTTCCAGGGTGAGACGTTACTTCACATCAGGACAGTTGCTTCTGCTGTATCAAGCACAAGTCCGGTCGTGTATGGAGTACTGCTGCCACCTTTGGGATGGCTCTGCTGCATACCAACTGGCCACCTTGGATTCAATTGACAAGCGTGCCAAGAGGTTTACAGGTGACTCGGAATAAGTAGAGGCGAAGCTGCCGAGCCTTGAACTGAAATTGCCTGCTTATCGGTATTTTACAGGATATATCACGGAGAGTGTGCGATGGAATTACACGATTTAATTCCGCCTTCCCCTTTCCATCATCGGGGGATTAGGCGTAGGCTTGGCTTCCACCCCTATGTTGCGGATATTCCAAAGATTCGCACAAAGCGTTACGCTTCCACATTTATATGGCTAACGGCTATGGAGTGGAATGGGGATTCTTAAGAAGCAGGGGTGCTTGCAGACTTGTTCCCTGAACGTTATAACTTGGACCTTTTCAAGGCGAGAGTGAATAGGCATTATTTAGGTGTGCGTGCTCCTCGCCGTCACTTTCCATCAGGTGAGATGGAGGTCAAATGTACACTTACATTTGATAAAAAAAGACAACTACAAATTACGACCCAAACTCACGAGAGAAATAAATGTAGGCCATACAAATATTTCTCCCGGCCCGGGAATCGAACCTGGGACCTCTGCGTGGCAGTCCGACATGGTAACCGTTCGGCCAAGAAGGCAGTCAAGTATATACATTAAGTACCGGGTATCAATTCCCGCAAGAACCAATAAAGCCGGATTTTCTTAGTACTTAGTAGTTTTAAAACTATTCTGCTATATCATTACTGTGACAACTGCGCTCCGATTGGCCAGCCCGAATTGGAAACAATTGACTGGTGTCGTCAATTGTTTTACTTCAAATCGACCTGTTAACTTGAGTTTTTCTATAATGGACTAAAATTGCAAAATTACATATTTAATTTTGAATTACCGATGAAATGTGATTCCGTTTGTCTGTTTTCCCCACACCACCGAATGAAACAGCATGCCATTGTTAGAGATATTATCTTTATTACAATAAATACAAAATATTTTTGAAATATACGGAGACGTACGCACAGGTCAGTTGTTGGCGCTGTCTACAATTCAGTGCAAACGAGATTTGATATTTATAAGTGATGTATCACTGATGAGTTACCAGGAATGTATGGCCCTTATTTCGTCTTTATTTCTGGTTATATGCTCGATGGTCCAGGTGCAGTTGTCTTTCTTATTATTTTCTTATATCTTAGTTGTTTTTACTATTACACTATAAACTTGTCCATTGCATACTCACATTTAACGTAATAATGTTATCATAGCTATCGCCATCCCATTGCTTCACTTTCCCGTCTTTGCCGGCGGTGAAGAAATAATGCGTCGAAGGTACAAATTGTAGCGCGGTCACAGAGTCATTGTGAGCGAATATGGACTTATGACAATCACCAAAGTCCATACCCCAGATCTTAACATTGCGGTCGGATGACCCTGTTGCTATGAGTGTGGAGTCGTAGCTGATATCCAGACTGAGAACTGGCAGTTTGTGACCATAGAGGGATAAATAAAACTGTAACAAGTGATTTCATGAATTTAAACTATCATATTTTTTAATTCCTTTAAATATACAGGGTTATTTGTAAAATACTAGCAACCTCACAGGACTATGTTTTGATTTTAAATTTTGATTTAACAATTCATTAAATTTTACTTTCATACAAAAATAAAAATAAACAAGATAAGCCCTGGTGCTTTCTCGTCAGGTCCCAGTTATTTTTTCCATCCTTCAATTCCGGTTTTCATTCACTGTCCCCATTACAGTTCACAAGAGTAAATTCTTAGCAATTTTCGAAATATGAGTTAAGGAACACTTATTATCGACAGTTCCGTTCATTTTATAGTATGAAATATGTACTTACCTAAGGCTGCAAACAGATTGAAAATCAAAATAAACTTTATTTCATAGGTAAGCATTAAAACACTTGAAATCGTCACACTAGTTAAACTCTACCGCTCATTCGTAAGGCAGATTCCCCTGAGAAGAATGAGCAAGAAACTCTAGCGGTTGCTCTTTGTAGATAACATTTGTACATATTCAACATTCACAATATATATATATATATATATATATATATATATGTATGTATGTATTGTGCATGTTGCTTTGAAACATCAGAGATCGAGACAACCTCCATGAGCTAAAGGTGTTACTACTACGGATTTTTGTTATCCAAGAACGCAGAAGTTGTATGATAACCTTTAGCATAAAGTTTTGTTTCACTACAGTTTTAAACCTCGTGAAATTTGTATATCAACCGGAATCTTACAGAAGGATATACATTGCCCCTTAAATTAATTTGTGAAGACGACTATCAAGAACAGCTAGTTTATTTTTATTCCTCGTATTAATGTTATGTCTGTCACTATATTTCATAAAGACATTACTATTCCTCTTCACATAAATTACATTTTCATGAATAAACTGTGACGTTAGTGTAAGAATGTTAATTTCCTTAAACTTATCTCTCGAAGATACTCTGGGGCCCAGATCGTAAATTGCCCTAACCACACGTATCTGCAGGACAAAGATTCTATTAATATCGGCGGCATTATGCCAAAGCAGAATGCCGTATGTCATTAGATTGTGAAAGTAGCTGAAGTAAACCAATCTAGCGGTTTCGACGTCTGAAAGTTTCCGTATTTTTTTAATCGCGTACACTGCAGAGCTGAGCCGTTTTGACAACTTACTTATATGTGGACTTCATTGCACTTTAGCATCTAACGTTATACCTAGAAATACAACTGTATCCACAAGATTCAATTTTTCGTTTTTAACTGCAATGTTTGTAATCATCTCTTTAACATTGGGTAATGTAAACACAATTTGTTTTTTTCTCATTAAGGATTAGGTTATTAACAGCAAGCCAACCCAATTGACTGCATGTTTACAGTTAATGCGTGAAGTCATAATCTACTTCATGAAGTAGCAGAAGAGTTTCTTATGAAAAAGTTTTTCCTATTTCTGCCTATTTCTGCCTCCAAGCAGTAATGTGAGCATTATTGCGTTCCGGTTTGGAAGGGTAAGGGTGCTGGAGTCATTACAGGCACATGGGACTTGTCAACTTATGTCTCAGGGTGACGGGCGCAGTGGCAGTGCCCCTAAGATCTTTACGGTTTAAAGCTCTGGAGTGGCACTGCAACTGTTATGAACAGGCGTGTAGCTTACCATCAGGCGTACGACTTGTTCGCCCCATCACTTGATATTATAAAAAAAAATCTAAATTTGTCAGATGGCACAAAAAATACTTAAGAGTTTGTTATTGGTAAATTACTTGTGTTTTAAAAAGTCATGGAACAAAAGTTATTTTTTATGTTGCTAGTAATACAGTCCTGCGAAGTTGTTAGTATTTTATAAATAACGCTGTACATGCTTTCAACTTCAAACTTTATGAGATTGATAGCAATCGGTTTACTGGATAGGTACCTTGAAAGTATCCAAAAAGAATATCTTGACAGTGGAGTCCAGAAGTGCCACCGCTATAAACTTATTGTTTGGACTTATTTTAACACCTAGTACTGATTCTTCTAAATCAAGCGTTCTTGTGTGCAGCAGTGATAACACCTGAAAGAGAAAACTTAAATCAATGTAAATTTTAGGAGTTTCGTGGTGATTTACAATACCATTATCACTAGTTCTACCTACAACGGTACGACGTTGACTAAATAACTAACTTGTAGTAATAATATGCCTACCTTGGACAAACCGTCCAATTAGGCAGAGCCAACTTTGAGAAACAGGTCAATCGTCGATTCCGAATCGGTTGGGCAGCTTTCGGGAAATTCCGGGACGTCGTCTCGTCCGCAATACCGCAGTCCTTGAAGACAAAAGTCTTCGAGCTGTACGTGTTGCCAGCGATGACCTACGGCTCTGAGACGTGGCCACTTACTATGGGTCTCATAAAAAAGCTCAATGTCACTCTGGCGTTCAGTGGGACGGCCCCCTACTAGATGGACCTGGTAAGAGCGGCGGGTAACCGATAGATGCAAGTCGCGTCCGGTTAGTCTGGAAATCTTTGGGGGCGGCCTATGTTCAGCAGTGGACGTCTTCCAGCTGATGTGATGATGAGTAATAATACAGTCCCAAATCTTCTATAGTCTATTCCAATCCATTTACAACAAAAAGTAATTAAACCTGTTTGGTTAAAATTCTAAAGCAATCAGTCAATAAATCGAATAAGTAACACTTTCACGTATATTTCGGAGATTTCTATTTGATATCTCAACACTTTTTCCAATAATATTCATTTGAATAGCATCGTAAAATCGTATTTGAAAAGTGGTAGTTCAAAAAGCGGTAGTAAAAAGTGAGGTTATTTTTCATCTATACTTCTATAACTTGTCTATGGTTGCATAGTGCTGTACGAAAAAAAACATTCCGTTCAATCAATTAAAGCTTTTGTAATAGATTGGTAAATCGAAAATTTCAATCGCAATCGAACGAGTCTCTATGTGTCTTTATTTGAAGGAGGATTTAAAATTAAGATTTCGGAAATTTTAAATATACTTTTATAGGTTATGTATTTTTACTATTCATTTAAGGAAAACCGCTAGTATGAGTCAATTAATATACAGATAGATACCTCCCGTTGTGTATTGCACAACTAGCACTTGCCACTGCAAAGCCGTTGACTCTTAAGTTAACTACCCAATTTTCACTTCGGTAGTGGTTGTCAATAATAGTAATAACACAGTATGACCATAGTAGAATAAGTTTAAATTTGTTTTCATACATCTTCAAAAAAGGAGGAGGTTCTCAATACGTACGCGATTGCTTCGTCATTCGTGAACCGATTTTGGAGAATCTTCTTTTTTTGTTGGAAGAGGGTACCTCAGTATTAGTCCCATTTAAATTTGAGGAAAATATTCCATCTTTAAGGGTGGCAAACCAGGGGATGCAGTTTTCGGTTTCGCGCAGGTTCCGGTAACCGATTTCAATAAAAACTTGGCAAACAGATGTAATTCCACGAACTTTAGAGGTCGATTTTTTTTTTACTTATTTATTAAATTTGCCACTAGCAGTCGGCTGTCAAACACATACTAGTAAGGCTGGGGGTCTACGCAAAACAGAAAGAATTAGCACGTGGTCCACTACACAAAAAAGTAGAAAAGCTCTGGGCTACACAAATAATATAAATATAAAAAGTTGATTTTGATCAAGTGCTCTGATATTTCCGTACACTAAAATCGTTGTGATGCATACATTACCTTGGCTTTAGATTCACCAGTCGGATCCGCTATTAGTTCAAACTGCCACAGTTTGACTGTTTTATCGCCGCCACCGGAATAACAACCTCTCTGGAAATAAATAAGAACGTTTAAATACATTACTTAACAGTTCTTAGGTTTTCGCGATTGTTATATTTAGGAATGAAATGAAACTATTTATTGAGATCTAAATTGCGTATACTTTTATAAACGTTTTGGGACTTCTACAGGTCCTATGGTCACACCTGACTGGTAATTTAGTCAACTGAAAAAACAGATTCAGTCAGTTGAAAAAACAGACACTTATACGCTATTTAGGTTCGAAAAAAATGGATTCACTTAATTTAATTTTTAATTCAAGCAAAGTTGGCGCCAAACAAAGAACTAGTACATAGGTATCGTTGGCGCCAAATCTGTGAAAAAATAAACAGGCAGTGGGCGCAAAAATGGGAAAATATATCACTATCATATTCTGGGAAATAATCTATTATTAGGGAAAAACATTCAAAAATACAATATCTCGACCATCGCAGAAAGGGAGGTTTCGGAGTGTGCGCAACTTCTCAATTTAGTTCTGACGCCACCCTTCCTCATTCGGTAGACCTCCAGAAAACCTTATGTCATTGATATAATATAATATCCTTTGCAAATAGCTAAGCTTCTTAATGTATGCTTTTTTTTATAATACTAAGTGACGGGACGAACAAGTCGTGGGCCTGATGGTAAGCGACACACACCTATCCATAACACTTGCAGTGCCACTTAGAGCTTGAAATCGCGTAAAAAGACCTTAGGGACACTGCCACTGCGCCCGTCACCCAGAGACATAAGTAGACAAGTCTCATGTGCCTGTAATTTCTCCAGCACCCTTACCCTTTAAAACCGAAACACTGTAATGCTCACATTTCTGCTTGGCGGCAGAAATATCAGCCTATTGCAGTCTACAGATGGAAATAGGACTCCACCAATGTTCCCTATTTTGCCCGGTCCTCAGCATATCTCAATCATTATGTTTTATATATATAAAAAAAATAACTTAAACGAATATTTCTAGAGCACTTACTGAGTCGGGGGTTAGCCCCACACTGTTACACTCGGCGGTATGAGCCGGAATCTGCTCGAGCACTCGGCCTGCTCCCACATCGACCACCAGCAACGATCCGTCGGCACATCCCACTAGAGCGTGCCTATCTCCCGGTGCGAAGCATATGCTGATTGGTCGGCCGCACGTTACGGGAATAGTGCGGAGACTGGTTTGATTTGACCTTTAAAATATTATAATTGATAGAAAAATCGAACAAACACAAAGAAAAATTCCTTCTATCCGGCTGGATTCGAACCAGCGACTTCGCCAAACCGGGGCTACAGTTCTTCCAATTGAGCTACGGAACGAGTCTTTAAAATATTATTCGAGTAATGACACTAAACAACTGAAGCCAACAATAAAAAATACGTTAATCAAAATATGTACCTTCCCATATATTGTGATACTTTCAACAACAACAAATTGGCAGAAAAAATTAAAGTTATATGATTAAAACTATTACTTACCTATTCCATAACTTTATAGAATCTGCAGATGCTGATAGCACAGCCAAGTTATCAGAACTGATCGCCACACACCGGGGTTCTTTATGGTGTCCAGGCATTGTTATTTGTTTCAGGCACTTCACTGGAAGTAAACCAACAAGACGATGTTATTGTCTCCAAGGCTTAATATCCTAATATTATAACAAAACATTAAAAATATCCATGTTCCTGCACAATGGCCATACGGTATAACAATTGCTCATGATAATTTAATGGTAAAATTCAACTGAAACTTTGAAGGCAAAAAAGTCGTTAAAAACCAAAAACAAAGATCTGCAACAAGCACATAGAAAGATTCGGAAGGTCTGCTAGATCGTTCCGTAGCTCAGTTGGGAGGGCGTCAGATGTGAATGCTGAAGGCGCTGGTTCAAGTCCAGCCGGTTCGAATTTTTCCTAGTGTTCGACCTTTGTATTAATAATTACAACAAACTAGAGTAATTTGCCAAAAAATAATTGAATACATGGTAGTAAAACATTTGGATATACAATACACTTAATATTGAACCGAAGTTTGTTGATATACCATAGTATTTTTTTAATAAATAAAGCGAAGAAAATGTAAAGTCTTCATACCTTCATTGCCCCCTCCCATTTTCATACTATGCAATTCAACAGTGTTATTAGCCAAAGTAACTCCGACTCGCAGCTCGCCCGTAGTGCCAAGCAAGCAAGCAGTAGACTTCAGTTTCGCATCCAGCTTTATTGAAGTCAGCCTTCGCACTTCATCTGTTAGTGTTAGCATTTCCGCCACTTCTGTTGTACCGGGATTTGCTTCGCCACTTTCTTTTAATTTGCTGGAATTTCAAGGAAACTTCATCTTATAATTAATATTATTATTAAAGGAGTAATATTACTTAAAAAGTCTTATACAGTGGTGTACATACTTTGAACATTTTTTAATTAGCATAAAAAATAAATAATACTTTCGTCGGTATTTTGTAGAAACAGCGTAAACGTCATTTCGAAAAAGGGGAGCCTGTTGTAGGTTTTCACGACTGTTTTAAAATATTAACATCCTGTTTTAAATTCAATTTTAAAACTTAAACATAATTAAAACCAAAAGTGAATTTTAAAACGGGACATAAAATTTTAAAACGGTCCTTAAAACCTAAAACATGCTCTCCTGAAAAATATTTCGAAAACCGCTTACGTCCGTTCTACTAAACACCGACGATATTAGTACAAATGTAGTAACAAAACTTAATAAAAAAAATGTTTCAGCTTTCTAGGATCTATTTCTTAAATTATAAAATTGATTAAAAATTCATATTATAACTAAAATTAAAAACAAGACCTTTTGATCTTCATTCATTTTTGAAAACCAAAATCATAGTCACAATCAACCTCAAAAATAATAAAATAAAGGTATGCAAGAAGACGTCGGTTCGAATCCGACCGGATCGAAGGAAGTTTTTCTGAGTGTTCGATCTTTGTATTAATAATTATAACAAACTAGTCGAGTAATTTCACATAAAAATAAAAATAATTGAATATCAATTCAATAAAAATTGAATTAATACAGTGAATAGCGACATCTCTCGCCAGGACTGGTAGCTGTAAAGGTACTAACTGGGTGATAAATCTGCAATAGATTTCTCATAGATGGCGCTACGACTAAAAAGTCGTTGAAAGACCAAGTACAAAGACACGACGCAAGCACATAGAAAAATTCGTGAGGTCCGTTGGTTCGTTCCGTGGCTTAGTTGGTATAGTGTCTGGCACGGTATGCAAATAGACATCGGTTCGAATCCGACCGGTCCGAAGGATTTTTTTCGGAGTGTTTTGTCTGAGTGTTCGATCTTTGTATTAATAATTATAACAAACTAGTGGAGTAATTTCACAAAAAATATTTGAATATCAATTCAATAAAAATTTAATTAATAAAATAAAATTAGGGAACATAAAAAATGAAATAAAATAAACTATAAAAATTAATCAGTATCCTGTTATGTAGTCGAATCGAATGCTACAATATGGCAACTAGCGTTATTAACGCAATATTAATACAAATGTTCAAAATGTAAACTCACGCCAACTTTTTCCTCTGTTTCTTAATTCGTTTATCCATCCTGGTTTTCGCATCCTCATCTGTGCAGAACTCAAACAGTTCTAGCAACGAATCAGTGCCGTAACACGCCAGCACTGACTGGCCTAGGTCAGTTGTAAGACCGACTACTCGCCCGCGACCTCCGCGGACCAGTGTGCCCACTTGATGACACTGGAGTATCTGAAAATGTAATCTACCTGTATATATATAGTGGATACAATAGGAAATACAGTTACTTTAATATATTTCTTTTATAACAACATGAGACGGGACGAACAAGTCGTGCGCCTGATGGTACGCTATATGCATGTCCATAACAGTTACAGTGCAACACACAGAGCTTTAAATTGCAAAGATCTGAGGGGCACTACAACTGCGCCCGTCACCCTGAGACATACGTCGACAAGTCCCATATGCCTGTAATTTCACAAGCACCCTTACCCTTCAAAACCGGAACACAGTAATGCTGACGTTACTGCTTGGCGGCAGAAATAGGTAAAGTGGCAGTACTACCCTTGACGAACTCTTTCACAAGGACCTCTACTGCTACCAAAAGAGAACTTGTATAGGACAGACTATGTTTTATTTTAAAATATATATAACAATAATTTACTCACTGAGGTATCCTCAATGTTGTCAGTTTCCTCCAATTTGACAATCTCCAGCTGTCTAGCTAATTTCTCCTCACCTTTGACATCGCTTATCCAGTTGAGTTTCCACACTCTTAGCTCCTGGTCCATGCTGCCTGTCACTAGGTACCTCTCTTCTTTTAACAAGACTGCTGACCATACCTTAAATTTTTTTAAATTTGGCTATTATATAGGAGAGGTAAATAAAAATTATGACTACTCATACATGCATCATAGCATACTTCACCTCTGCATAGCGTAATTAAAATTTTAAATCCCAAAAATACTGAAGCATTTGTCTGAACCTGTAATGGTTTGAAATGATTTTATTTTATTATAATAATTTTCATTCATTTCAGTTTCAGACATTCTATTATAATAAAATTCTAAACTTATAATTACAATCACAGCTAGTATGTGGAAGGTTGTTGCCTCTGCCTACCCTGATAGGTCTGTATAATATTATTTTAAACATAACTTCCTAAAAAAATTATCATATACCTACTTAATACTTTTTGCTTTTCAATAGCAGCTTCTTGTTTCATTTTTAAAATTCTTACTCTCGTAAACTCTTACCTCCATCTGGTGTCCACCAAGAGTCTTAAAGCAATGTTTGGTTTCAATGTCCCAAAATTTTACAAAGGTGTCTTTTGATGAGCTGACTACACAGTTTTTGCCATTGATAAATAAAACACTGGTAACGACACCCTTGTGGCCACTGAATCTGGCGATACCAGTCTCTGACACTACGTCCCAGAGAATCACTTCTGTGTCCTGTGGTTTAAAACATAATAACATTACTATTGTTTTTGTTAAAGTGTGTGTAACTATGTAGCAAAATGTGTCACCAGGCAGACTCATCATTAGGTACAAGGATCACAGAGCAAAATGCAGATACAAAATGGATATTGTTGGTAAAAAAAACTGAGTACATTTATGAAGAAAATTAAGATATTCATAATATTTAAGCACACCTTAAAATCTGTGATGTGTAATTTGTTGACTGAACAGAAAATTTTAGGTATAATATTAGGTAGTATTTTAGTTCTTTGTTTACGTTTTTTCTAATCTTAAAAAAACTGAAGTTTAATGTATTTATTATATAGGGTCTCCCAAAACGCAACGATAACCTGGGAACAGGTGTTAGTTTGTAACAACCCAGAAAAAAATATTTAAAAAATCGGAGTCATTTTTTTTGTGATATAAGCATTTTAATGAAAAATAATGAAAATGTACGTTCTGTACACCATTTTTAAGTACTACAATTACAAATTTGCTAATTTTGCTGTTCTAGTTTTTGTAACGGTAACCCAAATAGTCCAACTAATGAACACAATGCCAAAGAAAGCTCGAATTGCTTAAGAATCAGCACAAAAATAATTTTGTATTAAATTTTTTTTTGGAAAAATTGAGCAGAATTTTTTTTCAAGGTAACTTTGACACCTCATACTGTAAAAAAAATGTACCTGGCTATCATGGCAACTTGTTACAAAAGTTGGCGCAACTAATAAAGATTCTAAAATGGTATAAAATCTTCTATGTAGTGCTTCTTAAAAAAAAAAAGAAAAAAAAAGGGGCCAATTTAAAAAGGTTATCTTTTCTAAGTGAAAATGGCTTTCAGTGCCTCTAAGGTTAATTTAGGTTTCACATCCATATACTAAGTATGAGGGAGATCCCCCCGAAGGGGTTCCCGCCTTGTCGTGGCGGGGGGGCTCTAGTAGCCGTGGTCGATTTCATCCCACGGTGAAGCTAAGAGGAACCCACGGGGCCGGCCGATGGTGCTAGGCTGGCCCGGGGAGGAGGGCGTTCCGCGCGGGGCTCGTCTGGTCAACGGGACCGCGCGGATGCGCGAGGAGGAGGGTCGCGGGGGGAGAGACGTGTCGGTGTGTCGTTGCCGCTCGTCCTGTCCTCCGCGACCCTAGCGGGGCTGCACCGCTTTCAATGATGCAGTGGCGGCGGGGCCGCGGGGGAAGAGACGTGTCGGTGTGTCGTTGCCGCTCGTCCTATCCTCCGCGGCCGAACGTGGGCGGTTGGCCCGTGGTGGGCGCTCCAAGGGACTCTCTTCGGAGTCCGCGCGGAAGCGCGTTAGGTGTTGCGGCGGAGCCTGCCATCAGATCCGCCGCGGGGGCTGGGGGAGCAGCCACTGAACTTCACAGTTGAGTGGATGCTGTCCTGGCCCCCCATGGCCCCTGGGTAGCGGACTCGGGGGAGTTCGTTGCCCAGCATAAAGGGGCCCGGGATGGAAGGCTCGTCTGGTGTTCGGCGAGCCTCACATTCGGAGTCGGGGGACCGATGTGTCTCCCTTCTCGAGGAGGAGTTGCGCAGGGCGCGGCCAGCCGCTGGTGGGAGCGCGGACGAGTGCAACAGCGTACCCGTACCCCACCTACAGCGGAGAGGAGGAACACTCCGGGGGTTTAGTGCGGTCGGGTTGCTCCCCTTCAGGGTTCAGCCCAGTCCCACATTACCCCGGCTCTGCCCCCGCGGGGCCGGGGTATCTGTAAGCAGATTCCCCCGGATTAACAAAAAAAAAAGTATGAGGGAGATATACACCATTAAGTTTGCAGCGAGAATAGACCAGCAATACTAACGAAACTAGAGACGATATTTAGGTGAAAAATGTAACAAGAAAGAAATTGTAATTTTAATAATTTTTAACATAAGCCACCGTACCTTGAATTAATAGAAAAAGATGGCAGTAAAATAATTTAAATGTGGGAGCGAGACAGTTATACATACATAGTATATTTATGTGTAGGTAGCAACGTGGTATTTTTGTAATTTACTGTAATTGTTTTTATTTGGCGTTGTGCCTGATTACTTCGTGACTTTAGCTGTGTATTTTGGACTTGATTATTCTGTGATTCGGAAACTAAACTGACTTGGCTTTCTTCTGAACATTGTTATTGTGTTGTGGTACAAGTTGTTCGGAATTTTGTACACTATGCCATCTCATCTCATTTTATGGACCGATGAAACAACGTGCGAAAAGGACGGTTATCTTAATTTTCACAATTTACACAGTTGCAGCGTGGAAAATCCACATGCGGGAAGATAATTCACAGTATTAATTTAAAATAAACTTGTGGACGGGTATATTGAATGGCCAAGTTATTGGGCCATTCGAACAGCCAGAAACTTTAAATGGTGCAACTTATCTGGACTTTCTACAAAACCATCTGTCAGATCTACTGGAAGTGCCACTCAGCATATTGCGGGAAATGTGGTATCAATGTGACGGGTGTCCTGCTCATTATGCCCGTCCAGTGAGAGAATATCTGAATGAAGAGTACGCAGGTCGATGGATTGGGCGCCTTGGTCCAATTTTGTGGCCACCCCATTCTCCAGATTTGAACCCCCTAGACTTTTTTACTGGGGTTGTCTGAAAGAAAAAGTTTATGCAAAACCGATATCAAATGTTGCCGAATTACGACGATATGCACGATTGGTGAAAAGGTCATTTTTAAGGCGTTGCCGTGCATGTATTGATGCCGGTGGAAAACAGTTTGAGCACTTG